GGGGGGGGTTCCAGCCTGCCGGGAAGGAGAGGGGGGCAAAGGGGCTGTGCTGGCTGTCCTTCCCTTAAAAGTTCTGCGGAGGGATGAGGAAGGAGCATCTTCCCGGGTGGGGTTTTCACGGGATCTGGGCTTGTTGGGGGGGAACGCTGAGAGTCCCGTTCACCCCGGGAGGGGGGAGATCTGCAGGACGAGAATAAACCCCAAGGGTCAACTCTGGGAGGAGGGGTATCCAGGTGTGACCGGAGAGAGGGCTGAGCCGGAGTGCTCCTCAGCCAACTGAGCCGGAGACCCTCAGACCCTCACCAAACGGACCGGGCAAAGATCCTAAACTGGCAGTAAACAGCAGCCACCCGCTGGCCCGGAGCCAAAGGGAACCAAACTTCCGCTGGTTCTAAGGGACCCAGCCCCATGACTTCTGGGAAACAAGCAGATGTTGCTGAAGGAATTCACCCGCCTTCCTTCAGTCTGCTCCCTGGGTTGATGCATCTCCTCGGCTGGGTCACAGCGCCTTGCTGGAACCTGGGTGCTGCTGGCGTCTTCGCTTCAGCCGTCCTCCTCGTTTCTGAGCCATCCTGGCCAGAAGCTGGACCTGCAACTCGGCATCCCGTTCGGGTTCCGTTAGAGAGGGCGCTTGTGAGGTCTCCCCCGACCGTGGACGACCTCATTCCGCGCAGCGTCACACTTTACTTGCCGTGTTCGCAGGTACGTTGCTTTTCTCCCGTGGGCCTTCCTCTTTTTGGGAGTGACCAGTTCCAGTCCAGTCCCAAGCCGGCTTTTTGGGGAGATCAGATCCCCTGGTTATCCCAAGCCGTATCCCAACAATAACATCAGCATCTGGGATATCCACGTCCCAAAAGGCTACGTGGTGAAGCTGACCTTCGCGTATTTTGACCTGGAGCCGTCCGAGTCCTGCTTCTATGACTATGTTAAGGTACGTGCAGAGATACCTGCGCCGAGGGGGTGGCTGGAGATGGGAATTTAGTGGCCACCATGCGCGGTTGCTGTTCATTCACCAGGCCTCGTCTCCTGCTTCCCACCAAGGAAAGGGAACGAGTTGACGATGGAAGCGGGTGGAGCAGGCACTGGTAGCTCATGGCTGGGTAATAGCGGCATGTGGAGGAGGATGGGTCTGCTGCGGCTACGCTGATTTTCCCTTAACCTTGGCAGATCAAAGCAGACAAGAAGGACTTGGGCCGATACTGCGGCCAGCTCGACTCCATCACAGGCAATCACCCAGGGAGAAAGAAGTTTGTGTCTAAGGGGAACAGGATGCACCTGGAGTTTCACTCTGATTTCTCCAATGAAGACAATGGCACAGTGATTCCCTACAGGGGCTTCCTGGCCCATTACCAAGCTGTGGGTGAGTAGGCAATACCCTCAGTACGCAGAAGGAAGCCTGTGTGGCTTCAACCAATTTTTCTCCTTGTCAGGCAAATCAGGAGAAGCTGTAAGCAAGGGTATGGATCTCTCTGCCCTTTCAGCCTACAGCAGAGGTTTAATACTCTCCTCCCCTTGTCCCTGCATATCCTGTGTCTTCAGATCTCGATGAATGTGACCCTAACAACGCTGCTGAGAACGACGAAGGGCCTCAGTGCCAGCACTTCTGCCACAACTATGTGGGTGGCTACTTCTGTTCTTGCCGGGCTGGCTACCAGCTTCAGCGTGACCGCCACTCCTGCAGAGGTAAACTGAAATTTTGAAGGATCAGAGGGTTCCAGGGAAGGAGCCCTTCAGCCAGGAAGGGTGGGAGAAGTGACATGGGGAGCAGCTGAAATGGCTGCAGAAGACACCGCTCCCCAGCGTGTCTCTACCCTCTTCCTTCACAACAGCGGAGTGCAGCAGTGTGCTGTTCACAGAGGCATCGGGGTACCTGAGCAGCCCTGAGTACCCCCAGCCCTACCCTGAATACCTGCGATGCAACTACAGCATTCGTCTGCAAAAGGGCCTGTCTGTCATCCTCAAGTTCTTGGAACCTTTTGAGATTGATGAACACCAGCAAGTCCATTGTCCGTACGACCAGCTCAAGGTACTGGAGACTAGAATCATAGAATCACAGGATGGTTTGGGTTGGAAGGGACCCTAAAGCCCATCCAGTTCCACCCCCCCTGCCATGGGCAGGGACACCTTCCACTAGACCAGGTTGCTCCAAGCCTCATCCAGCCTGGCCTTGGACACTTCCAGGGATGGGGCATCCACAGCTTCTCTGGGCAACCTGTCCCAGTGCCTCACCACCCTCACCAGGAAGAATTTCTTCCTGATATCCAATCTAAACCTCCCCACTTTCAATTTAAACCCGTTACCCCTTGCCCTGTCACTACAGGCCCTTGTAAAAAGTCCCCCCCAGCTTCCTTGTAGCCCCTTCAGGCACTGGAAGGTGCTATAAGGTCTCCCCGGAGCCTTCTCTTCTCCAGGCTGAACACCCCCAACTCTCCCAGCCTGTCCCCATAGCAGAGGGGCTCCAGCCCTGGGAGCATCCCGTGGCCTCCTCTGGACTCACTCCAACCGGTCGATATCCTTCTGATATTGAGGGTTCCACAGCAGGACGTAGCTCTCCAGGTGGGGTCTCACAAGAGCACAGTAGAGGGGGAGGAGACTGGCAAATTCTGCTTCCAGCCCTGCTGCTAGACCTGGATAGGAATTAGTGGTACACCACTAATTGAATGAGAAATATGGGATCAGTACAAGGAGAATGCCCCAGCATGAAGGGGCATTCCTTGTCTCTTGTCCCTCCCTCAGTGCACTTAATTACCTTTCCTGAGGTCAGAGGCTCTGGGTTACTGGCCCCTGTGAGTGGAGCCAAAAAAAAAAAAAAATCATCTTTGTTCCAGTTTCATCTCCCTTTGATTTAATCTCAGGACTTGAATCACAGAAGGGTAGGGATTGGAAGGGGCCTTTGGAGATCATCTAGTCCAACCCCTCTCCGCGCAAAGCAGGTTCACCCAGAGCAGGTTGGACAGTAACACATCCAGACGGGTTTTGAGTATCTCCACTGTTTCTCTGGGCAGCCTGTTCCATGCTCTGGCACCCTCGAAGTAAAGAAGTTCTTTCTTGTGTTGAGATGGAATTTCCTGTGTTCCGGTTTGTGCCTCTTGCCCCTTGTCTTGTCACTGGGCATCACTGAAAAGAGTCTTCCCCCATGCTCTTGGCACCCACCCTTTAGATATGGATAAGCATCGATGAGATCCCCCCTCAGCCTTCTCCAGGCTGAACAGACCCAGCTCTCCCAGCCTTTCCCCTGATCATCTCCGTACCCTCTGCTGGACTCTCTCCACTAGTTCCCTACTTTTCTTGAACTGGGGAGCCCAGAACTGGACACAGCACTCCAGATGTGGCCTCCCTAGGGCAGAGCAGAGAGGGAGGATCACCTCCCTCCACCTGTTGGCCACGCTCTTTTTAATGCCTCCCAGGGTACTGGGGCTGATAGCTCTGGCCCTCATGATAAGGGAGAAGCAGGGGTCGTGGTAGGTCACCCTTTTGTTCTGGTCAGCAAGGATGGGTCAGGCATCCAGCCCTGTCACCGCCATAGGCACTGCGGCAAACTTGGTCTGGATTGAACTAGGGATGCTGGGGCAGAGAGGTGTATGTGCTTCTGTTCCTGTGATACACGTTTTCCTCATCAGATCCAAGTACGAGGAAGAGAGATTGGTGAATTCTGTGGCAAGGAGTCACCTGGCAGCATTGAAACCAACAGCAATGAGGTGGACATACTCTTCCTCACCGATGAGTCAGGGTTCAGCCGTGGCTGGAAGATCCACTACACCTCGGAGAGTAAGACATTTCTTCCCCGGAGGCTACTACAGCCTACCTACACCGTTTGTTAATACCAACTTACTTTGTCCCGCTCTCTGACAGAAATACGGTGCCCTCAGCCTGTCCCACGGGATGAGTTTACCATCATCAGGGACCCGCAGCCTGTGTACCAATTTCAGGACTATTTCATCGTCAGCTGCAAGACTGGCTATAACCTGATGGAGGTGAGATTCTTTCTCCCTTCAGCCATATTCTGGCTTCTCTTCAGTTTGTGTCAGTCTTTCAGTGAAACTTTCTTTGGAGACTTCACTCCTGGCAACGTCTTTCGGTTCGTCTCTTCCTTGCTTCTGTCAGCTTTCTTCCAGTGTTTGCTCCTTTCCTAGCTCCCTTCCGTATGCAATTACTGTTTCATGAAGCCCTGACGGAAGAAGGGAGACAGAGATCCCAGGAAACACTGGTAAACAAGAATATCTCATCGGAAGGATATGAGAACAGACTCGAAGCGGAAGATGCTACCTGCCTTCCTTGCCATCTGATTGCCAGGGCTGGGTAGCAGCCCAGACTTGTTACGGTTTTACGGTTGCTGACTGCTGATATTTTGGGTTGCTATGAGGAATTTGCAGCCTATGGCAAACACAGGATGGAGGGAAGGCAGCAAAGGGAGAGCAACTGAAAGAGGCTGCAGAGTGGTTGCTATGAGGAATTTGCAGCCTATGGCAAACACAGGATGGAGGGAAGGCAGCAAAGGGAGAGAGGACAGCAACTGAAACAGGTTGCAGAGTGGCAACTGTTAGACAGCAGTGAAAAGACGGGCAGGTAGAATGGGATTTAAACGTGGGAAGGGAATGTAAGGCTCTGTACAACCAGCAGACGTGTTTTTCCCTCCCATGCAGGGCAACCAAAAGCTACTGTCCTTCACGGCTGTCTGCCAGGCTGATGGGACATGGCATCAACCCATGCCCCGCTGTGAAAGTGAGTGATCCGGGAATGTGGATTCTGCCCCCTGCCATGGCTTTCCCTCTCCAAGAACATCAGTCTCTATGACTCGGTTGGTCTGTGGCCAGAGACTCACGGATATGCTGCTTGGAGGGTCCTGTGGGGGCCCACTGTCCCCTTTCATTACGTTTTTCAGCTTGTGAAAACGTAAATGTTTTTCCTCCCTTACAAAACCACGTAAAATATCGCTAAAAAATTGCTATAATGCTGTGACATCTAAAAACAGAAGGTGCCAGTTTGGGATCCATTTGGGAACATCCTCTTTCTGCCTGCTGCACAAACTGGTCCTTCACACCGTGGCCACAGTCCAGGTCGAGCCTCAACCTGCAGGCAGTAAGGCTGTCTTTGATTCAGTGCTTGGGGTTTTGGGGTTTTTTTAAAACTTTCTTCCTTTTTTGCAGTTGTGAACTGTGGCAACCCTACAGACCTGGCCAACGGGGCGGTCAGTTACCTCAACGAGCCCACAGACAACACCTACCAGTCAGTGATCACGTACCAATGCAATGAGCCGTATTACAATATTGTCACCGGAACAGGCGGCGGTGAGTCCTAATTCCACACAGACGCTGAAACCTGAGCATGGAAAGAGGTTTCCAGGTAGAAGCGTCTCTGCTCCCCAGGCTTAGGATCATGCTTTCCTCCTGTGAAGGCTCTCCAATCTTTCCTTGGCTCTGCAGCTTGATGTCTCAGCCTATTCCCACCCTGCTTCACTCCCAGAGTCCATCACATCCCTCCTCCATATTCCCCTTGACTTTTGCAGGTCTTACTCTCTCACCTGTAGCCATGATTTATTCTTCTCTCGTGGTTGTCATTCTTTCACTGAAATTTGAGACATGGTGCCTGGGAATCACCAAAATTCTGAAATCTCATCATACCAGTCCAAGTTGCTACAGATGCAAATAAATACACTCGAACTTCGCTGCACTGTGATGCTATTTACCTCTTTGGAATATTGTCCAGCGGTGGAGACATCCGAGGGCTAAATAACATACAGGCAGAAAAATCTGGTTTTATGTAGCAGGTCAGAAAAATTAAGGCAACATTCAAAACCGTTCACATGCCTTCTTTTTGCACCCGAGACAGGATTTGGTGACACAGGAGCTTTGATTACAAGAACAGTGTAAGGAGTTCGTTATTTCCTTGCCTTGGCTGCTCATTTATTCTCCACAAAAAAAAAAAAAAAAAAAAAAAAATGGGCTCCTTATTTTTCCCCCAAAAAAAAAAAAAAAAAAAAAAAAAAAAAAAGAGTAGATTTTTAAGCTGAATCAGCCTCTGGATACAGCTGCCAGCATGGACCCACAGTTCTGCATCGTGCCGGGGAGAGGTGACAGGCTAGCAGCGGCAGAATCAAGCAGATAAGGAGTTCTTGAAGTTGGTACTAATGTTGAATTTGATTACTCTGGCATCTGAGTTTAACCCCTTCCTAAAGAGCTCGATCTCATGAGAAAAAAAAAAAAAATATCAGGAGCAAGTAACTATCAGCACCAGCCAAATTCTGATGGGGAGTGCTTGTGGTTTAGTCAGTTTTGAAAGAGAGCAGCAAACAGTTTCTTGGAAGCATTTAATACAGTGTGAGATAAATTGTACATAAATTGGTTTTACTCACCAGCACAAAGTTTCTAAAAAAAGCCAGAATGCTGGAGGTGGTGGAGTTTGTGTTGCGAGGTGACGCGGGAGTGAGCTGACCTGCAACGCAGCCTCAGAAACAGATACCGAGCATGTAAGGCAACCACCTCGTTTTTAACTCTTTCGGGAACAAACCGCCTAGTCCTGCTGTCTGCAAACTACAGAGACCAGAAACTTGACTCTGAAATCCATGTCTTTACTTCTTCTCCCCTTTCTTTGGGCTAAATAAGGTCAAACAGTGCGCTGTAAGCATGTGTGGACTGAGTGAAGTTAAGACTCTGTCCTAACCCTGCCATAACCCTAACCCTGCCATAACCCTAAACCCCAAGACTAACACTCACTCCGAAGCCTAACCCTAATGCCTAAGCCTAACCTAACCCTAAGACTTCCCTCAGAGGACCCTTCAGGCTTTTCTTCTACAGAACCAGTGCCTGAACTTTACTGGTTCCCTGGAACTGAGGTGCTTCTCCGTCTGCTATCCCAGATGGAGACATTCCAAACTAGACCACAGGAGGCTTTTCCTGGGAAAGGGTGCCTTTGGGATGGGAGGGATGAGTGCAGCATGTGGGACACTTTGGAGACAGGAACCCCTTGAAAATTATTTTTATTTCTAGTCTAACCCTTCTCACCCCATGCCTGCAGGCCTGGGTCTCATTCTTTTCCATCTCATCCTACAGACAGATTCACCTGCTCTCCTGAGGGAACCTGGGTGGACCGAGATGGCCAGGTGAGGATTCCTGCCTGCTTGCCAGGTCAGTAAAAAACTCTTTGCCTGGTGTTTACTGAGTCATGCTTACCGTCAGCGCAAAGCCAGGACCACTTGCAGGGAGAGGAGTGAGGATAATGGTGCCAGTGGGGGAGGACAGGGAAATCTATCCAGGAAGGCAAAAATAAGGTGAAATCACACAGTGATGCTGTAGGCGGGAGGGGGATGAGCCAGGGCAACAGCGGGTGTCATGATTTCCTTGCGCTTCTCCACAGTGTGTGGGAAGCCAGTCAATCCCGTTACTGGAGTCCAGCGGATCTTGGGTGGCCGGTCAGCAAGCAGAGGCAGCTTCCCTTGGCAGGCTCTGACTGGCATCCATGGACGCGGGGGCGGTGCGCTCCTGGGGGATCGCTGGATCCTGACTGCTGCCCACACAATCTTGCCCAAAGGGGCAGGAGGGAACAATGTAAGCCTGGACCAGCTAGCAGAGGAGGCCAACATTTTCCTCGGCCACACCAAGGTGGAAGAGCTCCACAAGATGGGTAACCACCCTGTACGTAGGATCTTTATCCATCCGGATTACAACCCTGAGGATGAGCACAACTTCAATGGTGACATAGCCCTGCTGGAGCTAAAACACCCAGTAACCCTGGGCCCCACGGTACTGCCCATCTGCCTCCCAGATGCCACCAACGCCACCTTCTACACGGATGGGCGCATGGGCTACGTGAGCGGCTTCGGCGTGGAAAAAAACTTCATTTCGAACACTTTGAAGTACGTGAGCCTACCGGCCGTTGCTCAAGAGAAGTGTCAGGCTTGGCTGGACGGTAAGAAGAGCGACATGCCTATGGTTTTCACCGAGAACATGTTCTGTGCTGGCTTCCTCACAGTCAAACGGGATACCTGCCAGGGGGACAGTGGGAGCGTCTTCACAGTGTTAGACACGGAAAGTGGTCGCTGGGTGGCTACCGGTATTGTTTCTTGGGGTATCGGCTGTGCCAGAGGTTATGGCTTCTACACCAAGATCCTCAGCTATTTGGACTGGATCAAAGGGATAATAAGGGAGGATAGTCTCTAAATGTTGCTGTCCGGCTAGCCAAAGAAGCGCTGGTAGCATATACGTTTCCAGGCACAGCAAATCATATCTAAAGCTTTTGATGACGTCCCAAAGGCTTTTCAAACATACCGACCATGTCGCCTTCATCGTGAGCACTTCTGAAAGCCACCAGGGTTTGATGAATCCGGGGTGGCACCAACATAACCCACCAACGCTGCTGTACCGCTGGCAGCTTGCGGGATGCCTCTGTGGATGTTGTAGTTCTTCCAAATCTTACTGTTGGATGAAGCCTTAATGATATCATGAAATCTCTTGACAGCAAAGGTGTTATTGTTTGAAGTGCTGACACTATAATCAGAGTACTGCAATCTACTTTTGTACCCTGTTGGGTGGGAAGCTTGCAGGGCAGCAGACTTTCTTGGAGGATGCGATGCTTTCTGCTGAGTACAGTGTGCATATATACCCATTGGCATCAGTGAGATTCTATGAATATTAAAATCATTGCTGGAGAAACCAGGTGTGTTACGTTCTTCTCTGTTTTTAACACCTACTAAGCATTCCCCATCGCTGAAAGCAATTTATGGACTTTATATAGGGATTGCTTTACCTACCGCTAAAGTGTTTCCAGGTCTGCATCAGCATGTGGCCATTATATTAGTATGAAACTCCGAATGGCTTCAAGGGAGGCAAACAGAAGTTGTCTGTGTGATGCCACGTTCAAAAGGTAGGGAAGACAACCAATGTCATGGAGAGCCCCGGAACCTTTACTGATCAGAATTTGAGGATGGATTTTTTTTTTATATATATACTCTATGAAAATAAAGCTCTGACTGCAGGATGGTAGCCCTAAAATGATGCTGACTCAGCAAGAAAACAACCCCTCTTGTACTATGGGTACTCTCTAGAGTTGTCTCTTGACCAGTTTTGCTATTGCAGAACAACCTACCTTCTTCTTGTGAGTCACTGAGAGAACTGAAGTCAGCAAGAGGGGAGCTCTGGGGGTAAGGTCATAGTTGCCTTCTCACACTGTTTTCCATGGGATCCACCTCCAGATCTTTTCATGTGTCAGTACCTTCCATTTGCTTTTGAGATAATACACCCTGGAAAGGGATCTGTGAAACTGCACATCTGACAGAAATTCATCCATGATCTCCAGGGGTCAGAACTGTGTTGATTTTTCCCATTTGTATGGGCAAGAGGGGACCATGAAAGGCAACAAAAGCATGGAAAAGTGAAGTATGCGGTTGCACAGGAGCAATGGATAAACCTCAGTCTGGGGGAGGAAAGGGAGAATGAGGCATATGCTGTTGGAGGGTATTCCAGCTGAAGAACAAGGAATTTCTGGGATGCTTAGTGAGTACAGGTGAAGAAGAAAACAAAATACCCAACTCTTCAGTTACCTTAGTTTGAAGGTCACTTTTTCAGGACTTAAAATTGATCCATTTTTCCCAAATTGTACTTAGTTGAGCTATTTCGAGTGCTGAAATCTCCATCACGTACCAAAGCAGAAGCTTCCTAATGGCCAGACACAGCGGTCTGTAAGATTTCCAGTGGCTTTTGCTCATGATTACCCAGATGTTTGGGCATGACTGTGTGATTTGGGAAGTCCTAATACAGAATGTAATGTTATCAAATATCATTACAACAGCACAAGTACAGTATTGTTGTTTCTTTGCCCGTACACCGTCACTTCTTTGCACAAGAGGAACATGGGCTGAGATTGCAGCCTGGACCAGTTGCCAGGGTTGGATATTTCCCTTTCATGCTCCAAAAGATAAGGCTGATAAGAGTCCACCTACACAGCAACAAGAAGGAATGACTATAAAACTTCATAGTAGAGTAAAGTTGGCACATACAGGTCTAAAAGTGAAAAGCATTCAACATCCTGTGGGTCACAGTTCCTCAGGAATGTAGTATAAGATCCTTGATTAATAGCCCAACAACAAAGCTAGCCTTTGCTGGCTACACAAAATAGAAGGTGCTTGAGCTGTGTGCAGGAATCTATAGGAAATCTCCCAGGATCTGCACACATCCTCTTTTTTCCTAGACTCTCAGAAAAACGCAGGCAGGAAGAGGAGGTCTCTAGTCCAATCCATTGCTGACAGCGGGACTAATGCCAGAGCTTCAGGGTCTTGCCTGGGCACGTTATGAAGATCTTCAGGGACGGGAGTTCCCCAGTCTTTATGGCAGTTGTTCCAGTGCTGCCCCACACCCTGGGAAAAAGCCCATTTGGAAATTCCCTTATTGCAACTTGTGTCTATTTTCTCCTGTCCTGTCACCGTTCACCTTTTGGAAGAATCTTGCTCTGTGTACCCTCTAGCCCTCCTTTAGGTATCTGAGTACAGCAGTTAGATCCCTCCTCTTAGCTTCCTCCTTTCCAAGCTGAACAAACCCAGCTTCCTCTGTCTGTCTTCACGTGCCACCTGCACCGCTTCCCTGACCATCTTAGTGGAAGGATATCTGCGAGCGATACAGGACTTTTGGGGGAAAACGACACCTCTAACACATGTCAGGTAATCATCTTGCACAACGCTACCCTCCTTACATGAAGCAACCTTTATTTCATATCAACAGCTTGGAAAATAAAGCCCCGAGGGGAATGAAAGCCTTTTGAAGATGTCTCTCCTGCTCAGCTTGATTCAGGAGTCTCAAGTCCCCGTTGCTGGTAACGGTTGGCCAACGATACGCAACTATGTCCGGCAAAACTTCATAAAGACTATAAGGGTAGAGAGGTGAGGTCACACAAGTTCCAGCTTGACAAAAGCTGGCAGCGTAGTGGGTCAAAATGTGACCAGACACTCGTCTTAAGGAGTTTCAAGGAAAACTAGGTCGAGACTGAGAAGAAAAAAGGCAATACAGAGGTGATAGCACATTGCACAATGGCAACCTGGGCACTCTTTAATGCTGTTAGATATTCTGAACAATACAGGAAATACAGAAATCAGAAACCAGGCTCTGTACGTACCCTGGGAATCAACAATTATTCTCTCTCTTCTTCATTGGAATCTCCCTGTCAGGAGGGGCATGGCTAGGTCTTCTCCAAATAGGGGAAGAAATTGGGATAGAAAAAAATGAGAGGGAACAGAAGGAGCCTCTTTATCCAGAACAGCATATTCCTCTTACGCTGCAATGAGTGAAAGAAGAAAGAGAAATTCCCTTCTCGGATGTGCCAGCATCGGGACGAACCAATACGTCTTCCTGACTCTCCACTCGGCACAGACACAGTGAGTAGGCCCGTTATATACACAGAGGTGAACAGAACCGCAGCCAGCCCGAACACGTCACCCTCACCTTTAGGAAGGGTGACTGTGCTGAAAGGAGAAAGGGCTAATCCTGCCAAGCTTCGTCATCCTCATTCTTGCTCATGGTCTCCGTAATCCAGTCCAGATAACGCACCACCTTGGTGTAAAGACCAAAGGTACCACATTTTGGTCCCCAGGAGATCAGGCCAGCTGCGTAGTACCGTCTGTCATCCAGAGGATCTTGGATAGCGTAGGCTCCACCGCTGTCCCCCTTGCAGCTGTCCTTGTCACCACCAGCACAGATCATATTGTCGGTGAATCGGTAAGCACTGGAATCAGCAGAGCCCTCTGGTTTCACAGATCGGCACTTGTCCATGTCCACCACGGGAATCTGGGCCTTCCAAAGATAAATAGGCAGTCTTCCTCTCTCTCTCTGCCCCCAGCCAGCAATGTAGCCCAGAGTCCCTTCCTGCAGCTCATAGTCAGGTGATTTACCGGGAAGACAGAGGGGTGAGATGTTTGGGCCCATCTTCACAGGATCCCTCAGCTTCAGTAGCGCAATGTCATTATCAAAATCAATCCTGCTTTCTGTGGGCTCCTTCTGCCAGCCAGGATGGATGAATGAAGCTTCTGGGATCAGCTGCTTGGCCTCCCCATACAGGAATTCTCTAGCAACATTGATCACCCCAGCATACATGTTGGGCTTGTCATATCCCTCCAGCACGTGAGCTGCAGTCATTACCCATCTTTCAGAGATGAGTACACCACCTCCTCTTGGGTAGTCAAAATACACTTGCCAGGGAAAGTTGCCCTTTTCTGCAAGGGTGCCTCCAAAAATCTTTGCTTTGTCTTGGATGGGCTTACTAGGCACCCCACAGACTGGAAAGAAAAGAAAAAAAGAGGAACCAGATTAAGCCCTTTGTCAAAGAATTTCACATAATCATAGGAAGATCTAGTCTGGGAGGTACCTCTGGACGTCTCTGGTTCAGCCTGTTCATCTCAAACTGTCCTTCCCCCTGTCTTCCTAACTGCAAAGCCAGGTTGCTCAGGGGCTTTGCCCTGATCACCTCCAAGGGTGGTGATCAGCCAGCCTCTCTGGGCAGCAGTTCAAGTGCTCTGGGAGAGCATTCTTCCTTAAATACAGTCAAAATTTCCTTCGTTGCATCTTGTGCCCATTGGCTGTCCTTGTCTTTTATTGTCCCACAGAGTCTATCTTGATATCCTTTGTAACTTCCTCTTGGGTAGTAAATTCCAGGAGCTTTATCTTACCATTCACCTTTTGTACCGTGCACTTGTATGGCCAAGTCACTGGCTGAGCTGGCACTTAAGAGGGCTGAATCACCTTCATCTTGTACTTTGCTAATGAGTAGATTGGAGGCATCGGAGTAGTGAACAGGCATCACATACACCTAGCCCAAGGCGTGCTGCCTCCTCTAAGAGGGTAAGCTGAACAGCATGCAGATTTAAAATTCTATCATCAGCTGGAAGTTAAGACCCATCCCTAACTACCAGCACTCAGGAGCAGGAGTGGTACCCATGCCCTTTCCTCCTCAGTGTCTCCCAAGTACACAAAGAGAGGACAAGAAGGTCCTTGACAGGGATATTACTTGAGCTTTCAGACACAGTAAGTGCAGCCGAATATTGAAGGACACATTAAACCTTAAGGGTTTAAGATATCACTTCCAGTGAGAGTAGTGAAAGCCCTTTCCCTATGGGGCCGCATCTGTAGCAGCCAGTGGACAGCTGGACACTACCCCCAGGAGAGGTTTGAAGAGAAGCTACAGTTCTCAGCGTAGCTTGGGAGGGACCGAAAAAAGCAAGGCCCAGCGCTGTCGGACATCTCTTTTGACCTGTCGGTCTTTTTGCTACCTGCAGTGCAGACAGAGACCTAAAGCACTGAACCAGTTGAGAATGTGCACACCTGAAGGTGGAGTGCACACCTGAACTGGTGCAGAAACAGACACTGCTCCTTGAAGAGGTCCTGTTACACCAGATTACGATGCCCATTTGTGTTTCCAGTTTCTTTCCACTGCTTCATTCGACCTTTCTTTGGGGTCTTTCATCTTTCATCTTCCATCTTTCAGAAATACCCTGTCCCGTGTGATTCAAACAACACAGGAAGGATCGTTGATCCTTGCAACTTGCAACTGTGCAGAGAAATGAAAGAAGCAGTGGTCTTGCCACACGTACAGATACACAGTTTTTGGTAGTACCTGGGACACATTTTGGTAGCTTTGTTCCCATTTCTTCGTTGACCCATTCTCCACTGGCCGAGCACTGATACACCGCTTGGAAAACACAAGAAAAAAGAATGCCGTAAGGATGCAATCAAGATGAAGAGAGGGTAAGTAGCATTGCTGTATAAGATGAGGTATTAACCTTCTCCTTTCCAAAGCGAGCACAGCTTGGTAAACATTGCTGAGGTCTCCCTAGAAGTACACAACCCCACCAGAGTGCTTCTGCCTCTATTTTGGAGGGACCTCATGTAATAGATTTCTTGAGTCCTTTACTTCTCTGCCAGATGTGACAAAAATCTCCGTGGTTCACACACCAGGAAAATGGAGAGAGGACTTGCTAATGCATTTAAGGTCAACAGTCCATATCCAGACATTATTACAGTGTATAAACACAAAAGCAACACAAAACTACTGCCTGCAACCCCACACCAGTAAGAACTTTTCCTCAGTCTTGACCTGACAGGATATAATCCCATCCCCATGACGATGCCAGTGCCATTTCTCAGACCTTTAATCATAGAAATATGCTTGTGCAGCAGAGGCAATGCTTACCATCCCCTTCGGTTTTTAGGGTATAGTAAGGTGCATCACATTGATACCGGAAAGCAGCTTTGTACAGAGGCTCATGAAGGTCAGAGACATAGATGGTTTGGGCATTGTCAATAGCTATAGGATTGCCACAGTTCACAGCTGTAGAGGAGAAACAAAAATGGTCAAATACAATCAAAGGAGCATCCTCACCTAACAATACGATTATTCTATATGAGGAGGAACCGCTCGGCTCCATTCCTCTGTCTCTTCAGCATGCTCACATCCCAATCCTTCCATATCCTCCTAGTCTGGAGATACGGTGGATCTATAGAGCCTAAAGGCTCCATTCCAGTCCGCTTCCCACAATACAGAGACAGGTCACTTACGAACACAGCTGAAATGGGAGTTAGTCCATTCACCGTTGTCCTGACAGATGGAGTGAAAAGTCATGATGCTGTCTCGTTGCTAGGGAAAAGAAGACATAACCCGTGTTAAGTCACTGGCCGTGAAATGTACCTGACACAGGCACTTCAGTGGAGGGTCCTCAAAATGCTGCAGTGGCTGGAAGAAGTTTCCACTTACTACAGCTCTGGTGAAAACTTTTGAGTCCCCAGAGGTGCTCAGGACACCTGATGGGAAATGGCATCAGGAAGCTGCTGAGATGGCCGGAGAGGATATATGCTTTTTTACGTAACTTACCATCACAATTTCGTAGCCTTCCACACAGGTAACCTTCACATTGTCCTTGAAGACATACCTATCCTTCTTTGGGTCAAGAACAGAGTTGGGGATGACACTTGGGGGACAGGTTACAGCTTTGAAGAGATAGGCGGAAACCAGTGATTAACTCGTTCAAGATTTACTCTCCTTCCAGCTCCCAACTTCCTTCTCCCCAGTGACTACTCTCCCTAGTAAACAGGCATCCTCTGCTTCCTCAACACCAGCAGCTGTGAACACGTTCACGTGCTGCTGTACCGTGACTCTGCCCTGGGACAAGCTCTCTTCCCAACTCAGCAGCAGAGGGAATGCTTTCCCAAGTGTTTACTCACGATCCCCATAGTAGCGTATTTTCCAGCCTTTGTGCTGTACTGCATGGTCTGTCTGGAAGATTATGTCAACAGTATTGCTCCTAGTTTTGATTTCAGGAGGGCCTGGGAATTTGCTGCCACAGTAAGGACCAAAACGCTGCTTTCCAGCAACAATCTGGGAAAATAAAAAGAAATGAGAGATACCAAATGTATTCAGAGAGATATTGCCAAGAATTTCAAAAGGCAACATAATTGGAAATAAGCAGTCAGACGGTCTTCTGACTATGAGGAGATTGAGGGGAGATCCAGAGCATCCTGACTCCCTCCCCCAGCCCCACACCTACTATTAAGCTGTCGTGGCAACTTCCTTCTGAGCTGGCTGGTTCCACGTCGAAGTCCCCACTGCGTATGGTCAACGCCACAAAGTAGCCTGGCCCCAGAGCCACTTGGTAGTCACACCGCGAGTTCTCTGGGTACTGGCTGGGATAGTTGGGGCTGGTAATCTCCCCTGATGGCTCGGTGAAGACATTTCCACTGCAGTTCACTAGGATTAAGGAAGGAACACAGGTAGGATGGACCATTTCAGAAAGGAAATGGTCCAAGGCTGACAAGCTTTTCCTCTTCCACGACATCTCCAGTCTCCCCAGTCGCCTGCACAACCATGTCACAACACTGCATCTTTTCAGGAAACTGAAACCAGAGCCACTCTCTGCCCAATCAGCCAGGGACTTTAACTTCTAGTGGCCTGAGCCACCTGGCACTCTTGCCCATCCTTTGGCAACTTCCTGGTGTCCTAGGGGACAGATTCACTGATAGCAGTATGCTAAGAAGGGTCTCCATCACAGTCTTTAGAGAATGCAATTGCATAGCTTTTACCTCTCTTGACACAAAAAAGAAGAATGTTAAGAATATGTCAATAGAAATTTCCAAAATCGCAGAACACTGACAGTACAGATTTCCCACTGGAATGTCCTTTTCTCCAAAATATACTTGAGAAGGTTGATAGAGAAGGTCTTCCATGTACAGCATCTCACCTGAGCACATGTAGATCTCTTACCTCCACATGTTTTCATATCCTCATAGAGGAAATAATCCGGTGGACAGGTACAGAAGTAACCTCCAATATAATTATTACAGTAATGACTGCAAGGTTCCTCCACAAAATCTGTGCACTCATCCAAGTCTGCAGGCGTGAAAAGATGAACCAGCCAAGATTAGGAGAGGGCCCTAAGGGCAGGAGGAAGGTGAGAAAGGGAAGCAAACACTGGTGGACAATAAGGAAAAGGTCTCTCTAAAATAGCATGTAGACTGGCCATATTGGAAAACAGTCCTATCTG